GGTTTACATCTACGGCTCTGGGTTTGTTTTGTTTTTGTTTCTGCTTTTAAGCCATTTGGAAAAACCGGGGCGAGGCAAGAGATACGATTTGAAATACAAGGTGACAGGGAGGAGAGTAGTTCTGGCTAATTGAGCCAGAGTTCCCCCAAAGGCAGTTGTGGATTTACCCCAACTGTCGCCCCCTGGCATTTAGGTACTTACCACACAAATTCTCGCATTGAATCCAGCGGTCTGTTATGGGAAAAATTGCTTCCTTCAATTGACCGAGGAAGTTAAGAAACTGAGCCGAGATCACCCTTGCAAAAGTGGGAGGGAATTCAAACTCGCAGCCCACAGTCATCAAGTTTTGCCCCTTCACTGAAGACCACGGGAACCACACTTAAGAGCAAATAGACAAACCTAGAGGAAGGACTTTGAGAAAGGATGGTTTTTATGATAAAATACATTGTCATATGAGGGAGAAGACTAATTGAGGCCCAAACTAGATAGTACCCCAAGACTTAGAAAGCCAAAGACCTAACATGACAAAGTTCACATCTTAAACCTAAGCCTAGATGCTATGAGGTTTTCAATGTGCAATTTCTGCTTGTCCATGTGGGACATAGGAACAGACATGTCTGCTTGCAAACAAATGTTCTGCCATGGGTGATTGGGCAGCCGAGCCATGCCCGCCATGGAAGGGCCAGAGGACCTGTGTCACCTAAAAGCCACCCAGCTAAAGGACTGATAATGCCCCACTCCCTTCCCACACCTTGAGAGCCAATTTCCTGGGACTCCACCCAAGGCTTGACAGTCTCTATGGAGTGGCTTGGCTTGGGGAAAGACCGCTGGAGCGACATGAGGACATGATACAACATCACACATACAGTAATGTGACCCGTGACAGTCTAGGCAGCAGCATGGAACTAGTGACTTCATGGGCTCAGCACTAAAAGTATGACATGGTGTATGTCACTTCGCATGGACTTCACTAAAGGGCTAGACTTAATTCCTGAGATTCCAAGCCCAGAGTAAATCATACTCATCTTTCGGGAAGAAACAGGCGCCACCTGCTGGTAAGCTCCTTTCCTCCTGTGTCTGGCTCCTCTCCCTTCTGTCTTTCAATGCTTTTAAAACTAGGCATCAAGATTAGTTTTTTTCGCCATGTTCTATGGGCTGTCTCTTCGCTCTGTTTCTTCCTTTGTGGTGGTGAAGCATTTTAATTTCGTTCAATCTTGCTTGTCAGTTCTTACACTTATTTCCCGTGGGCTTAGAGCTCTTTTCAGAAAATCCTTGCCTCCTGTATCATGAAAGATTTTCCTCTGACAGTTTAAGGTTTGTGGGTCTTACATTTGGGGCTTTGCTACATTTTGAAGTGATTTTTCGGTAGGGTGAGAGACAGAGAATCAAGCTTAATTCTTCCACATGTAGAATCCAGTTTTCCCAGCACCATGATCTGGAGACCATCTCTTGTCCAGTGTGTGCACGGATTCATTTCCAAGTCTTCTGTTCCTTTGATTTACATGTTTTTGTAGCAACACTGTGCTGTTTCTCTTCCTGTGGATCTGTGGTCTTTAGAATCACGAATTGTGATTCCTCCAGCATTACCTTTTTAGTCAGGATTGCTTTGACTATCCAGCATCTTTGGAAATTTAGGTTGTTAATGGCTAAAATGTTCAAAAGAAATACAAAAAAGTAAGAAGAATGCAAAGCAACCAATCCACTCAACAAATGGGAAAAAGGAATGAATAGACACTTCTCAAAAGGTAAAGTACAAATTTACTTTCTATCACATCCACAGATATACACTGAACTGAACTCTGGAACTTAGTTGCAGAGAGGGACCAGGCTGGGGAAACCCACAGAAACAGCTGACCTGAATAAGGGGGAGCACATGGACCCCAGTCTGCTGTCTGGGAGGCCAGTACAGGACTGATCCTGACCCCTGAACATGGATGTCAATGAGGAGGCCTCTGCACTCTAGGGGGCCCCTGGTAGTGGATTAGTATTTTTCCCTGGTGTAAGAAGGACTTTGAGAGCCCATCCCATGTGAAGGGATGCACTCTTGCCCTGGACACATGGGGAAAGGCCTAGGCCTAGGCCCAGCCCATGATGATGTGGTGGACTTTGTGGAGCCCCTGTGGAGGGCCCTACCCTGCCTGGGGTGCGGAGGGGGGGGGGGGTGGGGGGTGGGGCGGGGGTGGGGGGGGGGGGTGAGGGGGGGGGGGGAGGTGGGGGTTGGGTAGGAGGGTTGAGGGAGAAGGAGAAGGGATTGACATGTGAAACAAGCTTGTTCCTAATTTGAACTAATAAAAAAATTACTTTCTATCGCTGTGATAAACACCACAATGAAAAGCAACTTAGGGAGACCTGATTCATTTCAGCTTACAGCTTACCCATCATGAAGTGCCTAGAGGCAGGAGCTGAAGCAGAGGCCATGGAGGAACACTTCTTACTGCCTTGCCCCTCAGGGCTTGCCCATCCTTTCTTATACAACTCAAGACCACCTGGCATGGCACTGACTGGAGTCGGCTGGACCCTGCTCCATTGATCATTAATCAAGAAAATGTCCCCACAGACTTACCTTCAAGCCAATCTGATGGAGACATTTTCTCAATTGAGGTTCACTCTTCCCAATTGACCCTAGCTTGTTTCAATTTGAGAAAAAAAAAATCTAACCAGCACATACCCTTATGAAAGGGTCCAAAGGATCTTTGAATTTACTTAAATAAATGAATATTTATTTACATCATGTAACATTTGCCTGCTCTTCCCACTTTCCCTGGTCCTCAGTAGTGTTTTGCCTAAAATCTACAAGATTGGAGGTAGTGGGGAAGACTGTTTTTCCCAATAGACTATAAACCCAGTTCAGAACAAGAATTGTGAGAATACACCCACCACACCGGGCTTTAAACAAACAAGCAAAAAGCCCAATCCTTCCTTAAGGGAAACTGTGACAATGAGTCTATGCTTTGCTGTGACTAATCCCTCAAGTCCTGCAGACACACTGACCTGCTCATTGCAGTTTCTTGTGTATCGCACAGATTTCTAATGTGCAAACTCTGTGAGATTTGCACCAAGTCCTCAAAGGGAAGTATCTCTCTCCTTCCCGGTATCTCAGAATCTACAGCATTCTGATTGTGTTGGCTGCATGGTGCATTGTAACATGGTTGCTATTTGCTGGTACATCTCCAAAGTTTTAAATGGTTTTTCTGCACAAAGAAGTCTTTCCGTTAAGGTGAGGGGAATACTTGACTCTTGGAACTAAATATTTATAAAAATCGGGAAATGTAACCAGTCCTTCCAGGTGGCCTTTGGCTGTTTTACTTTTCTCCAAAAGCATGAGTGTGTCTCTTTTGTTCAATACCCTGTTTTATTTCTCCTGAAAGCAGAGTCCTCTCAGTTCCCCCTCCTGTCTCTGAACATATAATAGTCCATTAGGAGTGGCCATGTGATTTCATCTGGCCATTACTGTTTCATTGGTAAATGGACTCACAGCAATGTTGTGGAGCACCCAGAGCATCCTGACTGAGTTGGTACCCAGGCTCTGGTGTTGCAAGGGCTCACCTTTGGTTTCTATGAACTATCTATAGTAAACAGCGGGCCCTTCCTGTCTTCAAACGCGTCATTTTCCAGTCCTGCATCCTCATTATTTAACTAACCATGAACTAAAACATTTATAAAAAATGTCTATCAAATATGCACAGGTTATTTTCCTTGTCATCCTTCCTGAATGTATAGTATAACAGTATACTATAGGGAACTATCACACATTGACTTAGTTATTACAGGAGATCTAGAGAGCATTTATGGTATGTGGGAGGCTAAATTTAGGACTCCAGCATCTTTGGAGCTCCTTATCCACAAGGAAGTCCTACACCCAATCTCCCTTGGAACCACTATATTTATAATATGTTGTGTACTGAAAATCACCAAGAATTCTCTCTGGATGTAAACCCAAAGCCATGTCTGTGCTTCATGGTCCCCTCTGCCTAAAGTAACTGGACAAGAGGAAGCCTGACACCAAACCAGTCATCCAAGGCCGACGAGTCATCCCATCAGTCTCCTGATTGAAAATTCAATCAAAAACACATGGAGACCACAATCAAATAAGAACAGGCATTTGACCCCAAGGTCAGCAGAATCTGCCCTTATTTACATGTATTTACTTTGCTGTTCTCTAACCTCTTCTGCCTTCATTTCTTATTTCCTAAACAAACTTAGCCAGACTATCCCCTGATGAACACCACCCTTTCCTGGCCACTCCCATTGCATGGTCTCAGTACTGAAGTATTCTTTTTGTAATGTATTGGAAATATTTGCCAGTAAATTATCTGTAAGTGATCGGGGCATGTTGTATTCATTAGCTTTCAAGAGCAGGGATTGGGCCTTTTGTTTTCATCCAGTGCCTAGATGAGTCAATAAATCATGTTGTCTGACTGAGATCTTTCGAGTTTTGCAATGCAGCTAAAACTATCAACATGGGTTTCTCCGAAGATTATAAATGTTACTCTCTTGGACATGTTTCAGACATTTTTCAAGTGTTCCAGAACCCTAGTCTATGAATCAGTTAGTGACAAAATGACCCTAATAAAATGAGAAAAAATTAGGACAAGTTTGGTGAATTTTTTACATCAAATTAGATGTATTGAATTTTAAGGATTCTTATAGTCTTGAGACTGTGCCTTTCCTACTTTCTTCTGACAGAAGAAAAAAATGAAACAGTGAAAATTACTTATAATATTAATATCCCCTTTGGAAAAACACAGAAGTAGACTGCCAAAATGAGCTCACAGTTCTTCTCATGTTACTGGCTTATGAAATCCAAAAGGCCAAGAACTACTCTTGGAGGCTCTCTCACTCTGTCCCAGCTTGCTTTGAAGTCAACTCCTGATCTTCTGTCTTTACCTCAAAAGTTTTGGGGTTATGAGTATTTCTACCACATCTGCCTTATGAGGTGTCTGAGAGTGAGCCTAAGGCTCTGTGTTTCCCAGGCAAGCACTCTTCAGAGCTAGATCCCCAGTCTGTTGGCTCTCCTAAATGGAAGTTAGTCCTGTGCTCTAGTTGCCTGCCTTCAGGCCTTCTCTCCAGCTTCGCCCACATCTGCAACCTGATGAACCTGATGCAATGCCCACATATCCTGCTTTGTTTGGGTCTTGGCTGCCGCCACCCTTCTGTTTTCTGGGCTTTCTCACTTTGGAAATTACCTTAAGCCTGAGAAGATTGCCCACACTCAACTTCCTTTTCTCTCTCTGCCCCAGATCTCGCGTGGAAACCTCAGCCCCTTCATGGGCACTTGCTCTGCCCCTGTCTCCTTATTCTCTTCCAGACTGAACCAGAGTGCTAGCTCCTAGACCAGAGAGACTTCATCCATATCCTCTTTTCCATAGCAGCATCAACTAAATAAACTACAGCATGGCATGATGGCATGTGCCTCTAATCCCAGCACTCGGGAGACAAACCTAGGCTATTGACCAAAGGTTTTCAATGAAAGATTTTCTTCTCCTGGAGCCACTCTCAGAATGACACTGGAAGGTCCTGTGTGATGAAACACTTATACTTCAGTCTTCATTCTGTTGTCACAAATATCCTTGTGTGCTTTTTTAAAAAGAAACTGTTAGCTCTCAAACTCGGGACAAATGACTAACTGAGGTACCTATTTAATATATCAAAGTGGACACTGACCACCAGGTTCTCAGCAACTGCCTGTTACAGGGACATCCAGACTGGCATACCCCACCCTTTACCCAGAACCCAGCTTCTCTTCTCTAGATAATCCAGCCATTTTGTCTATGCAGTGGTGTCCTGGCTCTCTCCTCTCTCTCTTCCTCTCTTGCTCTGCTCAGCCTTCTTTATCTCCTCTTACTGGGTTCAGTCTAGATCCTACCAGATTCCCCTGGCTGTGCTCGTCCTCATATCTACAATAAACCTTCCCCTCCTCCATGGATGGTCATGTCCTCAGTTCATTTTTTCACTCATAAATTATTAGCTTAAAAGTTATATACAAAATGTTATAATCAATTGTATAGCAGAGACAGCATTCTGACCTTGAACTTGAAGAGCTGATAGAATTTTGAAAGAAATGCAGAAAATATACTTTGGACTACTTCAGGATAAGATGGTGATTATAATGAAAAAAATAACTTTGAAATAATGAGATTGAGATCTCTTTGTGTAAAATTTAGGAGATGGACATATGTCACTGTTGGGGAAGCAGAGACAAGAAAATGACAGTAAATCTGATCCAGCCTGCTCTATGAAGCAAGTTCCAGGTCAGCCAGAGTTTCTCAGTGATACTCCATCTCAAAAAGGAAAGAAAAAGAAAACTTCATAGTGGAAAGACATCAGGTAAGCAACAACTGACCCTTTGGTTCTTAAGAAAGGTTAGTTATAATGTAGCCAGAGGAAGTCACTGGAAAAAAAGAACTCAGTGTTAGAGCACTTGCTTGGCATGTGTGGGGTCCTGGGTTCAATCCCCAGCATAGCATAGAGGATGGGTGGATGTATGGATGGATATTGTAGAGAGAGAGAGAGAGAGAGAGAGAGAGAGAGAGAGAGAGAGAGAGAGAGAGAGAGATTTAACAATAAGGTACCAAATAAGAGGTCTTGAGTTTAATGAGATAATTTTGAAAATGTATTTTTAATCAGTCTCATATTGCCCAGGCTAGCCTAGAATGCCTCTATCTTCCAAATGCCAAGATTACTGGTGTGACTCACTAAAAGAATTTCATAAGTACTTTGCTTTTTATTTTTAATTATTAATTTTTAGTTTTATTGAGACAGTGTCATCATATCTCTGGTTGGCTGGAACTCACTATACACGGTAGCCTCAAACTTGCAATTCTCCCTGACTGCCTCAGCTTCCTGAATGTTGGAGTTGCAGATGGAAGTCACCATACCTCACTTGTACCTGTCCTTTTAAGTATGCAAATATAAATGTTAGTTAATGGAGTAATAATAGTGTGCATGTAATTGATTTACTTCTTTGTTTTGCCTAACCATTGTATCATATCATATAATATGCGTTCGCTGTGTTACTGCTTTGTAATATAATGAATGCATATATTAAGGGGAGCTGGTAATTTGACTATGGGTGGCTGAATTTGCATGGATAAACTAAAGTAGCTTTATTCAGTGTATGTTCCTATGACTGTAGTTCTTCAGACTGCTGGCAGACATTATATATACAGGGTACTATTGCTAATAATAACAAGGTATAGAGAGTTGGGATATTGCTCAGTGGCAGAGCACTTACTCATGAGGGAGGCCCTGGCTTCATTTCCCAGTATTACAAAACAAACAAACAAACAGAACTATTTAGGCAGCACAGCAGCCCATGCTTGCAATTCAGCATTTGGGAGATGAAAACAGAAGGATCAGGAGTTCCAAGTTAATCTCAGTTACATTTTGATTTGAAGGCCAACAAGGCCAACATGAGACCCCATCTGTAGCAAACAAATACAAAAATTAAGAAGTGATTTTACTATGGACTTCTCAGAGACTTGGGCATGCTACTATACTTTATGAACATGCAAGAAGGAAAGATGTTTCCTGGAACATTTTTTCATATATGTGTCATAAGAATTAATCTGGACTTGCAACACTTCTCGGCAGTCCATACTACAAGAACCCACAGACTGGGACAAACCCTAGTCCAACCGTCAGAATTGCATCCCAATCAATGCTTTGTGTGGCAGGTGTTACTAGGGAAGTGTGTTCTCAATGTGTATCACTACAGCCTGTGTCTCAGGTGGATTCTAGAAGAAATTCAAAGCTTCTTGTTTAAGGTAGTCTGCATCTAACTAGGGCTTTGGTTTATGTTCCTCAAAGGGAGATTTCAAGAGTGGGATGTCATTACGGGGATGTTTTCCAAACCCAAGGCTCTCATTAGTGACTAGTCAGATGCTTGCAGAATGGCAATCTCTCTGAACTTACCAGGGTGTGTACCTCTGGCCACAATACCTTTAGCATCCTAAGCCCAATGATGTTGGCATGGCTTATATCATGCACTAGATGTCTAGAACCTCCAATCAGGAATGGTGGCTCATGTCTATTATCTCAGCAGTCAAGAAACTGAGGCAGAAGATGTGAATTTGAGGCTGGCCAGTGCTACAATAGTGGGTTCCATGCCAGCATAGGCTACAAAGTAAGACTTTCTCTAAAAAAGTGAAAAAGAAGGAAGGAGAGGAAAAGGAATCCCAAGAACACCAAGAAACATAAGTGAAAATTCATACACTTAAGTAACAATTTAGACATTTCAGGCATTACATGCTAAGGGGTCAAGAGTCTAAATAAACACACACAGAGAGAGGATAACGTCTGTTATTTCTCACATTTTTCCAATGCATTATCTATTGATGGGGAATGTACTTCTTTGTATGTTTATCTTATTGATTGTTGAATAAAATACTGTTTGGTCAATGGCAAGCAAAGACTAGGAGTCAAAGAGGATTCTGGGAAATGTAGTAGAGAAGTGATGATCCAGGCAGTAAGTGACGTGCCAAGGAGACTCATATCTAAGCGAGGAAACAGGAAGTATGCCCTCTTTCCCCTCCGCTCCTGCAGCACAATGTGATCCACCGACAAGGAGGGACGCCATTAAGGCTTCCGATAAGATAAGTCTTATGACATATATAGATTTATGATAATTAAGACTGAGCTAACAGATGAGAAGTCCTAGTCATTGGCCAATCAGCTTTGAACCTAATACAAGTTTCTATGTATTCATTTGGGCCTAACTCGGGCAGGTGGCTGGCGTAAAACACACACATGGCGGTGGGGCTCAGGCAGCTTTTGGCGGAAAGATTTATCGTAATAATCTATAGAGGAGTCACACTTAGAACTAGGGAATGAAATAGAAAAATGATAAGATCCTGCAGAAGTAAAAGTCACCTGGAGTGACTTCAGGTTCTAGCTGGTACAAAGAGAGCAAACTCAAGATGGCTGGAACCAGGATAAGGGGAATGACCTAGAAGAAGGTTCACCCCAATGAAGGTTCTCAGTATTGGATCCCTCACAGTTTCCACAGTGGTCCATCCATTTTTAGATCTGCTCATGGCTGCTAGAAATCCCAGGAAATCTACTACAAGCAAACATAGGCCCTGTGATCTGAAGAAATTACAGCCACTACCTGGACATATGTACAGCAGTCCATGCTCTAGGAAAAAATATCCAAGAGGTCAAGAGGACTACAGTCAACTGGTGAGGGTTCAAGCTAGGGCTCTAGGCACAGGGGTGAGTTTGATCTTGATGTGCCTGTGTAGGACAAGATGACTCTGTAAGGGCCACCCAGAAACTACTACCAGTATGACAATAGGAAACAAAGCTGGGAGGGGGCAGACAAAGATTCATTGATACGGTTTCTATTCAGTTTAAAATTTCACCTTGTACATATATACCTTTTTCTTTAAATTTATGTTTACGAATGTTTTGCCTGCAAGTATGTGTATGTACCGCATATGTGCCGGGTACCCTCAGAAGCTAAAAGACAGTTTCAGATCCCCTGGATCTAGAGTTACAGATACTGTAAGGGACCTTATGGATACTAGGAATTGAACCCAGGTTCTCTGGAAAAGCATCAAGCCCCTACATCTATAACCTTTATAATAATTTCACCAATTAGCTGGGAATGGTGTTGCATACCTTTAATCCCAGCACTCAGGAGGCAGAGGCAGGTGGATCTCTGATTTCAAGGCCAGACTGGTCCACAGAGTGAGTTCCAGGGCAGCCAGGGCTACACAGAGAAACCCTGTCTCAAAAAATAAAAAGTAGCCGGGCAGTGGTGGCACACGCCTATAATCCCAGCACTCGGGAGGCAGAGGCAGGCGGATCTCTGTGAGTTTGAGACCAGCCTGGTCTACAAGAGCTAGTTCAGGGACAGCCTCCAAAGCCACAGAGAAACCCTGTCTCGAAAAAAAAAAAGTAAATTGGCATATTACTACACAGGATGAACTACACAGGAAGAAGCAAGCCATTATAGTATTACAATGTGAGGTAGGAGTTCTTGGCTAGCATAAAGTACAGAGAAGGCTAGAGAATGCACAGATGAGAGAGGGATTTGCAAGAAGAAAACAACAGATTAATCACATTCAACAATGAATCGAGCTGCTTCCTAGTCATGGTCAGGGTTTGAGTTAGAGTCAAGGGTTAGGAGCTAAAGTCAGGATTATGGTTAGGGTATATGGAAGGAAGTAGCAGAGGGAGGGAGGGAGGAAGGGAGGGAAGGAAGTAGGAGGGAGGGAAGGACAGGAAGCTTTCTTAAGACATTCCATTTGAGGGGCTGGAGAGATGGCTCAGAGGTAAAGACCTCTTCTAGAGGTCCTGAGTTCAATTTCCAGCAACCACATGGTGACTCACATGAGATCTGATTCCCTCTTCTGGTGTAAAGGTGTGCACACAGTCGAGCACTCATATGCATAAAATAAATAATATTTTTCTAAAAACAAACAAACAAAACCCCATTAAATCCTGGCCAGGAAGATGGACACTGGTCAGGTTCATACCAGTGGTTTCCAGAGAATAGTAGTGAATTACATTAGTCAGGGGTTTATAAAGGTAAAACCTACAAGGTTACATATTTCTGTCCTTCATCCAGTCAGGGGCAAGCATACATCCTGACAATGTTCCCTGCCTATATACATCTCTCCTATGTGTGACCAAGCAATCCTGTGCAGTTGGGAAAACCGAACCTTGTTTGCTGAAGTGAAAACACATGGCTTCTTATCTTATATGAACAACAGCCCCTAGCAATCCAGGAAGTTATCTGTCCTTGGGCAAGTAAGTTGGCTCACAGGTTAGAGACATTTTTGTTTTAGAGGTCTCTAAGCACAGTCATTTAAACTCAAAACATAACTTTAGCCCTCACAGTGAGAGATGCAAACAGGAGAATCCCTGGAAGCTTACAGGACAGCTACCCTGGCAAACAAGGACAAGCAACAAGAGACACCAAGGCAGAAGGCTAGGACCAACACCCGAGGTTGTCCTTTGACCTCTGCATGCATACCTTGACGTATATGTGCACACTCACACACATGAATGTATACACACACATATACACACAGAAATTTAACACAACATATAGTTAGATGCTTAAGATAGAAAACTAAAGAAGCCCTGAGCATGGTGATACGTGCCTGTAATCCCAGTACTCAATAGAGAAAAGAGGATGGTGAATACAGGACAACCTGGCTATACTATGAGTTCAAGGCTAGTCTGGGATGCACATGGAAACCCCACTCTCAAGGGTCAGAGAAGTAGCCTAGGAATCCTTGCCTACCATACCTGAAGCTCTGGCTGATCTGTACAATGCCAAACAATAAGCAATAGGAGGAAAATAAGGAAGATGCTTCCAATATGACAACATATCTCCAAATTCCTCTCTGTAGTCGGGGCCACACCTTGGGAGTCTGGGGTGAGCCTGTTTGCTGCTTAGCCAGGGAGGTCTTAGGAATCTAGTTCAGCTTCTTCAGTTCTACTGATGGGGAACTAACTTAAGTGCCTGAAGGTGCACTGCCCACGCCATTCAGCTGCCTGACAGAATGCTGCCTGCCTGGAACATGGTCTCCATCTCCTAACTACTCTCTTTTTTCTCAGTCCTCTCTCTAATTCGGTTTCTATTGCTGCGATAAGACACTGGTCAAAACCAACTTGGGGAAGAAAGGGCTTATTTGGCTTCTACTTCCACATCACAGTCTGTCATCAGGGAAGTTGGGACAGCAGCCTGAGGCAGGAACGGAAGCAGAGTCTGTGGAGGAGTACTATTTACTGGGTTGCTTCCCATGGCTTGCTCATTCTGCTACTTATTCAACACAGGACCACCAGCCTAGGTGTGGCACCACCCAGGATATGGCTGGGCCCTCCCAAATCAATCATTAATCAAGAAAATGTCCCCTCAAACATGCCTACAAGTCATTCTGGTTAAGG